AACGAACTTGCCTAAACTACGAAAAAGTATTCTAGAAGCACTACTGCTATTACTGTTATTATTAGCCACATTACATACTCCTTGAAAATACCTTTAACCAAATATAGAGAATTATTATAAAGTTAAAATAGTTAAAACTTCTTCATATAATACGTTTAGAAACGTGTGAGTAAAGAAAGACTGGAATATGTTACTGGAATATCTATAAGTTATATTGAAATGAAAACTATAAGAACTGCACTAAAACCCATTTAAATTACATCCCTTTGTACAAAATCAAAGTTCAGAACCTAACAAAAATAATTTAGCCAATGAACAGAAAACTACCTCTTTTTCTAATATCACATTTGTTAATCACATTAGTAAATTTCTGATTTACTACTGGGGAGGACTTAACTATTATCTCAATAACATTTTTAAAAACTACAACACAAATTTTAAGGGAAAAAAACTAACTACTGAGACATCTATTTACAATTGGTAGTGCAGTGCCTCACTGAAACATATATTATGTATGTAAATATATCTAAATCCAAGAGAGTAAGAACAATAAATACAAACCAGAAACTAGATAAGCAAAATAAAATGTCGCCTAATGATAGGAGCTGATTGCTACAAGCCAGGACCAAACGCGAAGGCTATCTGTAGGAAGCTGGGTAGTTACTGACTAGCACTAACTTTAACAACAACAACAAAAACAAATCAGGACTTTCACATCACTGAGAATTGAATATTTTCTAAGTCCTTACTCAGAAGCAATAACAGTCAATATTCTGAACAGCAAAAATACTCAGAGCTGAACAGTAAACAACTAAGATGAATGGTAAGCAATTGCATAAAATCTCTGCCTATCAACTGCTATAAGGCATTGTGCAAACCAATTATGTGAGTGGTTGCTGAGTTATAAACCCTTCGTTTAATTTAAATATTTAAACAAGTACACGGCATTTATAAAGTGTTGCAGAAATGAAAATACATCAAAAAACACTATCTGCTGTATAACAAACTGATGAGTCCACTTCCACTGTATAGACTCCGCTTCACAATCTATTTTAAATGTGCTGCATTTTTCTTGCCTTATTCGTTAAATTAATATTTATTTATGTACCGGGCACTGAATTATTATTTCCTAACTAATCACGTTTTAAGTCCCAGATTAGAACTGATTTCCTTTTGGAGAACTAGCTCCAATAGTCCAAAGCCAGGTTAATATTCACCTCCTAGCACTCTGTCATTACTTTACATAGGGTTTTCATTCCTCAGACACAAATAAGTCCTTATTTACTTGTATCACACGAGAAGACTCTATGTAGAGAAACTGTCTCTTATTAATTAAATCACCAAGACTTTGCGAGGCAATGTGAATAGAGTCATTAGTGAAAGAGCTAGCTGAACCAGGTGAAACCACATCAAGCTTAAAATTTTTTATCAAACTCTTAAACATTTTACCATGAATACTTTTAGCAGTATGGTAAAGCTTAGAGACCTCTTTCTCAGAATAATACTTATTTAAAAGGCAAAATAAAATATTTAGGATTACAAACAATTGAAATATAGTGATATATGTGCTTTTTCATTAATATATAAAAATATAGGCCCACCATAATTCTGAATAAGCAATATTTAATTATATAATAAAAGTGAAATGATAAGAAAATATCCATTATTTTTATTGCTCACAAATTCACAGGTACAGTTAATACTTCGCTGGAGAAATTCCTGTTATTTAAGTTAATTTGTATCAACTCACAAATAACGAATATCTAGGGTCAGCATCCCCATAAGGAGTTATTCCCAATGATATTAAGAGGCTTCATAGATTGCTATATGAAATAATTATATAAAATCGATATAAGGAAACTTTGTACACAAATAACCACCCCAAATTGAATAAATTCCAGAATATCTTAAGTAGACTTTAATTAAATATCAATAGAAAATAAGGAGAGAAAAAAGAAAAACAATAGTTTGACCTATCCATGTTATTGTCAAAGCAGAGAATACCATGCTTAGCATAGTGCATGTGTCCATAGTGGGAATTAGTTCAAAATAGTTCATTCAATGGGTTTCCTAACACTGTTTGAGACACCATGCTAAGCACGAGAGATACAAAAATAAATGACATTTGATCACTACGTGGGAGGAACAGAGCGGTTAGCAAGGGAAATTATCATTTAAGCAAAAGATTACCCCAAAATAAATTATATATCATAGACTTATTAATCTAGTGCTCCAGGAACACAGAAAATTAGGTATAAGCATTCCCATTTTTAATCTTTTCATATAAACACAAATGTGGGAGGTCAGACAAATCAAATGGCAAGTGTAGAACAAAATTATGAAAGCATTTTTTGATAGAAAACTAACTGCTCACGATGATAGAGATGACTATGACATTCTTTAAATTATGTAATAAGTTGTTCTTAAAATGTAAAATTGTGGACAGGAAAAAATATAGTTTCCAATGTCAGAAGCATTTTAACTAGGGTTACATGAGATATTCACTAATACAAAAAAAGATTTGACACAACAGATGGGATATCAAAACAAGTCATATTGGTTACTCCAAGTGGAGTGCTATAAGTGACATAACTTCCAGACTGTTTCTTCAAATCAAAATTAATTCCCACAAAATTCAGAGTTCAACAAAGGTTTGTCTTTATTAATTAAAGCAATTCTACCCATCACCAATCTCTGCAAAAATTTTGCTCTATTCATCAAAAATGACTAAATTATTAGAGGTAGATTATTCAAAGTGCTCTACATTATTCTCTTACCATCATTCTTTATTTGAAAAGATGAACAGAAGAGAAAAAGATGGGTTTCCCCACCAATTTTAAGCAATATAATCATTTTTGAAGAATAAGACAAAAATGGAAGGCTCCTCAGATACATCAACCAAATGAGTAAGATCTGAAAGAATTTAAGTTTATGAAGCCTACACCAGAGAAAGCAAAGAGCAATTTTATCTTTTCTTTAGAAAGAAAGTTATTTTTAAAATAACTTGTTTCCCACTACTATAAGTATTTATACCAACTCCTTACTAAGAAAATTGGTAAAGAAAGAAAGAATTAGGAGTTTATCCTGCCTTTTATATACAAGAGAACGGTTCATTTCTGGCTGATGAGAGAAAATCCATTTTCAGTAGAAGAACAGCAGTCAATAAATGCAGAAAAAATGACAGATTAAGAAAACACCATTCTGCAACCTCCAATGTTACAAAACTATTAACTAAAAATTTCTTTCAGAAATCAGGTCAAAACAACACTCCACAGAATACCTACTAAACTCCACAAGAAAAACCTATCTCCAATATGTAGACATTTGATGGTCACTAAGTTACCCATGTGATCAAACACAGTATCACAAATAGGGAGATAACATGATATAAAGTGTCTCCTACTGGGATGAAATTGTGTAGACAGCAATACTTATGTAGTGGATTGAATTATGTCCCCTCAAAACTCACTGAAGCTTAATGGTGTCCCGCGGGTTTTATGTATTAGAAACTTGGTCCCCACTGTGAATGTTAACAGGGTAGGAAATCCTGTTATGTGACTGAAAGATGGAATTTTGAAAAGGTGACTGGATTGCAGGACCATGCTATAGTGAATGGATTAAAAATGGTGGTCAGGGGCGTGGTTCTGAGGGCTTTAAAAGCAGAGTCTGTCTTTCTCTCTCTGCTCTCTCTGCTTCCACCATCTTGCAATGTGAGACTCCTGGGTCACTGTCGCCATCCCCAGATGGACTTTGGACTTCCCAGCCTCAGAAAGTGTAACCAATAAATTTCATTTTTCTTTATAAATCGCCCAGGCCCATGTATTTCATTATAAGCAACAGAAACGGACTAATATAACTTATGAAGTTTAAAAACAAACATAAAAACAAATAAACAACTCATTAGCCTAAACGGTTTTAAGCCTCTCTAGACCTAACTTCCAGTTAACAGAACTACACGGAATGGAGAAATACAGAAAATATTATCGTAAGCGTAATGAAAAAATCTGACTAATCCAGAATTTCAATGAGACAACTCACCTGGACATTGCAAAATGAAAATTAAAAGGTACAAGTTCTATACTACATTAAAAGGAATCAAAAGGTAAAGAGTGAACCTTAATTAGACCTTGGTTTGAAGCAGTTATAGAACACACTTTTGGGACAACTGGAAAATTTTAAATTATGGGTTCAATATTAGACAATATTAAGTGTTAATTTTCTGGGCTACAATATAATATTTGGCTATGAGAGAAGGTCCTCATTCTTAGAAAACACATGGTTAATTTGAACTGGGTGAAAAGTTAACTGCATCTAACATATTAAAATGTTTAAGCAAAACACACACACACACAATGGTACTTCAAAAAGTCTGTCAAAAATAAAATTAAAAGATAATATAAATCCTTCCATCAATGTTTTGAAGTACCTTCATATATACATATAAAATGTGAACACCTGTTTAATCTAGGTAGTGGTACCTGGGTGACTATGGCACTACTTTTTGAATTTATTTTTATGTTTGGAACTCTTAATAATAAAAAGTTTGGAGAAAAGGTAAAAAGTAAAAATAGGGCATTCTACATTGCTAAAATACATCTCCTTATCAAATTTTTAAAGAACAAATAGAAAAACAACACCACCAAAAACAGGGAAAAATAAAAGTAAACTGGCTCATAAAATGTTATAAGTTACAAGGAAAATACCATTGATACACATTAATATTCTAGTTTTGAAGGTTAAAGTTCTTTGCATAATAATAACACAGGATTAATTTTACTCAAAAGCACTGTTTACCTATGGCTGCTATTCAATCACTACTTTATTGAGAGCAAAACTAATGTTTTGGAGAGGTTCTAAAATTTAATAAGCACTCACTGAGCACTACTAACTTTTCTGATATACACTGAGACATTAAGAAATTATTTTCCATTTCTAAAAAAGCTGGCTGGAAAACCCATGATAATAAATGGCAAAAAAAAAAAAAAAAAAAAAGGATTTACCACTTGTGTTAAAAGCCATACAGCACACTGGCTTCTCATGGGCAGGAAAGTGGGCCACAATACCATCGCTGTCAGAATCCTCACTCAAAAGTACCTTCACAAAAGAAATAAAGACAAATAGTGGTTAATACTTGTACTTTCTTACCAATAACTGAGCAAGAAAACTATATACAGGTACACCACAATACCCCTCACCAAATAACATGCTTCCCCTATATTGGAAGATTAATCTTGTCAATTTAGGAATGAGGAAAAGATATAACATGCCCCCAGCACATCACTCATATAAACTCCAAATATAGTCGGGTGGCTTGACTGTAGATAACAGAGACAATTACTTCTTCAAGTATAGGTTCAGGGGGGAAAAAAAGCATAAAATCAATTATTTTCAATTCTTTACAAAATGTAATCACATAGAATTTTATCCAAGGACAGGAAATATGGTTCCTACCGTGTTATGGACTCTGCTGGAAAAAATCACAAATTTTTGCCCATTATTGGAATAGAACGTAAGAACAGGGAAAAATAACATAAGTTAAACATAAACAAACAGCCTTACAAAAGAGGAACTTCCCAATAAAAAATTAATAGTAAAGTACAAAGTTGTGGTCTTGAACTCCTCTTTTACAGATGGACACACCATTTCTATGAAAATACTACCAAGTCATAAAAGCAGAAGCACATTAGAACAGGTAGCTTTCTATCTCAAATGGAATTTCTTATATTTATTCCCATTAATTTTGTGTTGTTATATTGAAATATAATTTACATTTCAGATAATTTGCCCATGGTAAGTATATTGTTCAACAATTTTTAGAAAAAATGTTTTATTTACCTAATGTGCCAGAAAGAACTATTACACCAATATTGAATCATGTTATTAGATACACAGAATTTCATTTTAACTAGGAAGTACTTCTATATTAGCAATGTTAATTTCTTTCTTTCAAAAAATGCATGTAGTCCCCAGCATCACTCTCCCCAACAACTGATCAATTTACAACTATTAAAAAGCAAAAGATGTACCAGCCAATCGCAAAAACAAAATAAAACAGCAAAGACTGCCAACCTGGGCCTACTGGATCTCAGGGGAAGAGGAGGAGAGACCCATAGACTTTATGAAGGAGAGAAGCCACAGTGAGAGAACAAGGGACTGCTCCAACCCTTTCAAGCCTCAGACACTTCAGGGCCAGCCTGGTGAGGGATGGGAAGAAGTTGCAGCACACAGAGCAGGAGCTGGCAAAAGCCGCAGCTAAGCCCTTTGAGTCAAGTTGCTTACAGTGGGGAAGAGGACTCGGAGAATACCATACCAGCTCCCAGGCCAGCAAGACCACTGATAGGGTTCCCATAGACCCACATAGGGGCAAGGGTCCATAGCTGACCAAAGAAAGGAGCCACCCTGCAGCCAACAAGTCACTGCAATGGATCTGCGCACAGCCTGCCCCCTGGGAAGCACCTGGAGGGGCAGGGGGTGAAGAGGGTAGCCAGGAACATTGAGGCACAGCATGGGAAGCTGATCTGCCTTCCAACTGACACAAGCCCACTCAGTGGAGACTGGTCAGAATGACAGAACTGCAGGGGCTGCAGTGTGCTAGAAAGACTCGTTCCCAGGCCAGAATTTTCACACAGTCCAGTTGTATCTGAACTTGCAAGACCCAGAAGCGATTAAAAGGCCAACAATTAAAATATGATCTGCATATAAAGCTTTCCTCAGAGAATCAGCATCAAAGCAGCAATTTAGCTCAACCACTAGGCTCAAGTACTGGTCCCCACAGGAAGTTCCCCCAATTTTGGAATTAACCAAGGGTGAACAAATTAGTTTCAGTGCAGAGTTTAAGTGGTGGTGGTAGCTAATACTCTTACATGGAACTGAAAAAACACACACACACACCAGAGACAAAGCTCTGGTATTAGCAGTAAAGGTTTAACACCACCAAAGAACACCTATAAAACCTAGAAGACATATCAGTCTTTGCAAATGCCCAGGCATCAATGTAAACACACAATTATCAGTAAAGAACAGAGAAATATGACACCATTAAAGGAAGTAAACAAAGCACCAGCAATGGACCCAGAGCAACACCAGATTTATGAAATCTCTGACAGAGAATTCAGAATAACCCTCTTAAGGATGTTCAGGGAGTCAGAAAAAAATACAGATAGAAAATTAAATGATATCTGGAAAACAATCCAGGAGCAGAACAAGAAACTTGACAAAGGAACTGAATCAATTTTTAAAAACCAAATATATGAATCTATCAGTCACATCATGCCATGAGGGGTGACAATCAGCTTGGTATTTCATGAATATTCACAATAAATTTTTTTTTTAATTTTTAAAAACAAACAAATATAAATTCTAGAAATAAAGAATACATTATCTGAACTGAAATCAACAACAAAAGGGGCACTAGAAACCCTACAAATACATGGAAATTAAAAACATGCCCCTAAACAACAAACAGGTCGTGGAGACAAATGAAAATGAAAACACAACATACCAGAACCTATGGGATACAGCAAAAGCAGTGGTAAGAGGGAAGATTATAGCAATAAACATCAAAAAAGAAGAAAGACTTCAAATAAACAACCTAATGTTACAATTCAAGGAACTAGAAAAACAACAACCACCAAACCACAATCAGTAGAAGGAGAGAAATAACAAAGATGAGAGCAGAAATAAATGAATTAGAGATTTAAAAAAATACAAAAGATTGATGAAACAAAGAATTGGTTTCTTGAAAAGATAAACAAAATTGATAAACCATTTTTTTTTTTAAATAAAGATGACCGGTAAGGGGATCTCAACCCTTGACTTGGTGTTGTCAGCACCACGCTCAGCCACTGAGCTAACCGGCCATCCCTATATGGGATCCGAACCCATGGCTTTGGTGTTCTCAGCACCGCACTCTACCGAGTGAGCCAAAATTAACAAACCTTTAATGAGACTAACAGAAAAAAAGAGAAGACTCAAATTAAAAAAAAATCAGAAATACAAAGGATCACAAGAGACTACTACTATGAACAACTATATGCGGACAAACTGGAAAATCTAGAAGAAATGAATAAATTCTTGGATACATACAACTTACCAAGATTGAATCATAAAGAACTAAAAACCTAAACAGACCAATAACGAGTAATGAAACTGAAGCAGTAATAAAAAGTCTCCAAACAATGCTATTCAGAATAGCCAAGAGATGGAATCAACTTAAATACCCATGAACAGATGAATGTATTAAAAAAAACTGTGGTATATATACACAATGCAATACTATACAGCTATAAAAAAAATGATAGCCTATTGTTTGCAGAAACATGGATAGAACTGGAAACCATCAAATTAAGTCAGGAACGGAAAGAAAAATATTGCATGATCTCAGTCATACATGAAATCTTAAAAAGAGGCAGGGGGAGGAGATTTCTTATAGAAGTAAAGAGTCAAATAATGGTTACCAGAGGCTGGACAGAGAGGGGTTTGTGGGGGGAGAAGGAAAAGTGGTGGACTAACGGGTACAAAAGTATGTTATCTACCCTAAGTGAATCACTGTGCAGCGTATGCATGTTTTGAAACAACACAATGTACCCCACAGAAATAAATGTACATAAAATCAGCAAAGCTCTAAAAAAAAGGAAAAGAAATACACTCTGCTATATATGATCAATTGATTTTGATTAGAATATTAAGACCATTCCATGGGGAAAAGGCAGTTTTTTTCAACAAATGACGCTGGGAAAACTGGATATCTACATGCAAAAGAATGAAGCTAAACAATTGCGCAGGGGTTGCCGCCCCAACCACATCATTCAGAGGTCAACCATATATACACTCAATGGAACACTACTCAGCCTTAACAAGGTATGAAATTCTGATACATGCTACCAACATGGATAAACCTTAACATTATAGTAAGCCCAACACAGAAGAATAAATATTGAAGGATTCCTCTATGACATACCTAGAATACGCAAATTCAGAAAAAGAAATTATAATAGTGGGTGCCAGGGCCTGAGAAGACAGGGAAATGGGGAGTCATTGTTTAATGGGTATAGATTTTCAATCTGGATTGGGGAAAAGGTTCTAGAAATGATGTTAATTATACAACAACATGAATGTACTTAATGTCACTGAATAATATACTTTATATTGCTAAATTATATTACATTGCACATACATACCACATTGTATGTATCCACCCATTCATCAGTTGATGAACATTTGTGTTGTTTCCATTTTTGGGCTACTATAAACATTCACAAAAAAGTTTTTATTTGGACATATATTTTCATTTATCTTTGGTATATACCTAGGAGGTGAACTGCTGAGTCATATGATAAATCTGTTTAACATTTTGAGAAGAACTGCCGAACTCTTTTCCAAAGCAGATACTCAGTTTTACATGTATAAACAACAGTGTATAGGTTTTACAAACAACAGTGTATAAGGGTTTCAATTTCTGCTTACTGGCCACTGGGGTATCTTTTCAAAGAAATGCCTATTCAAATCCTTTGCTCACTGAAAATCAGTTTATTTGTCTTTTTACTTTTGAGTTCTAAGAGTTCTTTATATATTGTGGACACAAGTCCCTTATTAGAAATATGATTTCCAAATATTTTCTGCACTTCTGTGGGTTGTCTTTTCACTTTTAATATTATGATTATGAGTATTATTTTCAGCGGCTACCTGGTACAGGGATGCAAACCCTTAACCACGGTGTTATAACTCCACACTCTAACCAACTGAGCTAAGTGGCCAGTCCCTGTCTTTTCACTTTCTTGAAGTTGTCTTTTTTGACACAAAATGTTTTAAATTTTATGAGGTTCAGTATATGTCCCCACATTCTTTTAAATATAAAAATAAGTATTTTTATACATATATTATCACATCAGATGTTATAATTTATGAACTCATCAGAAGAAAAATGTATTATATGTGCCTCTATTTATACTCATTTCATTGTTGTTCTTTCCTTTCTGAAGTTCCAAAACTTCTTTTGTTATCATTTATTTCCACGGAGAACTTCTATTTGACATTCTTTAAGGACAGATCTACTAGTGAATAATTCTCTTAGTTTCCTTTTTCTAAGAATGTCTTAATTTTCCCTTCATTCCTAAAGAGTATTTTCAGTAGACATGGAATTTGGTGTTAACAGTTCTTTTATTTCCATACACACCTCATTTTATTGCACTTCACTTTAATGAACTTCACAGATATTTACCAAATTGAAGGTTTGTGGCAAGTTTGCGTTGTCTATTTCTGCCATTTTTCCAACAGCATGTGCTCACTTCATGACTCTGTGTCACATTTCAGGAATTCTCACAATATATCAAAGTTCCTCATTATTATTAAATCTGCTATAGTGGTCACTGATTCTTTTATGTTACTACTGTAATTGTTATGAGGCACCATTAACTGTGTCGATAAAAGAGCCAACTAAATTAATAAATATTGTGTGTGCTCTGACGGCACCACCAACCAGATAGTCCCCTATCTCTCTACATCTCCTCAGGACTCCCTATTCCCTGAGACACAACAATATTGAAATTAGGCCAATTGGGCCAACCCGTGGTGCACTCGGGAGAGTGCAGCGCTGGGAGCGCAGCGGCGCTCCCGCCGCGGGTTCGGATCCTATATAGGGATGGCCGGTGCGCTCACTGGCTGAGTGCGGGGCGACACCAAGCCAAGTGTTGCAATCCCCTTACCAGTCACAAAAAAGACCAAAAAAAAAAGAAAAGAAAAGAAAAAAGAAATTAGGCCAATTAATAACCCTACAATGGCCTATAAGTGCTCAAGCGAAAGAAAGAATTGAATGTCTCTCATTTTAATGAAAAGCTAGAAATGATTATGCTTAGTGAGAAAGGCATGTTGAAAACCATGACAAGTTGAAAGCTAGGCCTCTTGCACCAAACAGTTACCCAAGTTGTAAATGCAAAGAAAACGTTCTTTAAGGAAACTGAAAGTGCTACTCCAGTGAACACACAAAATTGATAAGAAAGTGGAACAGCCTTATTGCTGATATGGAAAAGTTTGAGTCTGGAAAGAAGATCAAACTAGCGACAATATTCCCTTAAACCAAAGTCTAATCCAGAGCAAGGCCCTAACTCTCTATAATTCCATAAAAATTAAGAGAGGTGAGGAAGCTGCAGAAGAAAAGTTAGAGGCTAGCAGAGGTAGGTTGATGAAATTTAACAAAAGAAGCTGTCATCATAACATAAAAGTGAAAGGTGAAGCAGCACGTGCTGATATAGAAGGTGCAGAAGGTTATCCAGAAGATCTAGTTAGATAACCAATGAAGGTGGCTACATTTTCCCACTACACATTTTCAGTGCAGATGAAACAGTTTTATATTCAAAGAAGATGACATCTACGACTTTCATAGCTAGAAAGAAGTCAATGTCTGGCTTCAAAGTTTCAAAGGACAGGCTGATTCTCTTGTTAGAGAATAATGTAGCTGAATTAATTGAAACTAATGTTCATTCAACATTCCTAAAATGCTAGGGCCTTTAAAAATTATGCCTTGTAAATGGAACAACAAAGCCTGAATGACAGCACACCTACTTATAGCATAGTTTACTAAATATTTTAAACCCACTGTTGACACCTCCTGCTCAGAGAAAAAGATTCCTTTCAAAATACAACTGCTCACTGACAGTGTACCCAGTTACCCAAGAGCTCTGATGGAGATCTACAGAGACATTAATATTCTTTTCATGCCTACTAAAACAACATGCATTCTGCAGCCCACGAATCAAGGAGCAATTTCAACTTTCAAGTTTTATTATTTAAGAAATACACTTTGTAAGGCTGTACCTGCCATAGATAGTGATTCCTCTGATAGATCCGGGCAAAGTAAATGGAAAACTTTGTGGAAAGAATTCACCATTGTAGATGCCATTAAGAACATTCCTGATTCATGGGAGGTAGTCAAAATATAAAAATTAACAGGAGTTTGGAATAAGTCGATTCCAATCCTCATGAATGACTTTAAGGGGTTCAGGACTTCAGTGGAGAAGTAACTGAAGATGTGGTAGAAAGAGCAAGAGAACTAGAATAAGAAGTGTTAGAAGTGGGACCTTTAGATGAGACTGAATTGATGCAGTCTTATGATAAAACTTGTAATTGTAGCATTTTATGATAGCAAGAAATGAAAACCACCTAAATGTTTAATTACAAGTGAATGCTTAAGAAAATTTTGGAACATGTATTCAATACACTATAAAGATACATATTAATTACTCATTTAAAGTGACAGCAAAAGTCATGTAGTTTTATAAAAACTGTTAAATATAGTACAGTTGCTATTACAATAAAACATCCACGAGACCTATGTAAAGCAAAATAAAAGTGTCTTTAAAATTTTTTGTAAGTATTTATGGTGGTTGTTTGCTGACAGTATTACAGGTGGTTTATTTCTCCTACCTGCCATGCTTTCTCAGTTTTTCTTTACGCAAATGCAACACTACTACTTAAACTCTATCATGGAAAAGATTAAGTAACTTAATGTAAGTTAGTGCTATTCTGCAAGCTTAATTCATTTTATGTGACCTAGAACAGCATCCTGTTATCAAAAGAAAAATATATTTAATTATTTTGAGACATACGATATAGCTATTATAATAAAACGTTAATGAGAAAATATAGGTGGAGCGAAATATACTTTTCAACTTTGTTAAAAGCTTCAAATTTTTTATAATACAGTGTTGGGGATGCTTTCAAAGCATCATTTTTTTCCCTAAAATATTATTTATTTTTGATAATACATATTTATGGGGTACAGAGTTGACTATCAGTACTTGTGTACAGCAAGGGAAACAATCAACAGTGAAAAGACAACCTACAGAATGGGAGAAAATACTTGCAAAGTATACATCTAACAAGGGATTAATATCCAGAATATACAAGGAAATCAAACAACTTCACTGTAAAGAAATAAATAATTCAATTAAAAAATGGGCAAAGGAGTTGAATAGACATTTTTCAAAGGAAGACATACACATGGCCGATAGTAACATGAAAAAACTCTCAACATCACTAATCATCAGGGAAATGCAAATCAAAACCACACTGAGGTATCATCATCTCACCCCAGTTAGACTGGCCATTATCAAAAACACTGAGGATAGCAAAAGAGCTAAGTAGGCAATTCTCTAAGGAAGATATACAAATGGCCAACAGTCATATAAAAAAATGCAAATCCGGGAAATGCAAATCAAAACTACACTGAGATACCATCTCACCCCAGTTAGGATGGCTAAAATCCAAAAGACTCTGAACAATAAATGCTGGTGAGGTTGCGGAGAAAAAGGAACTCTCACACATTGTTGGTGGGACTGCAAAATGGTGCAGCCTCTATGTAAAATGGTATGGAGGTTCCTCAAACAATTGCAGATATATCTACCATATGACCCAGCTATCCCACTGCTGGGAATATATCCAAAGGAATGCTGGCGAGGTTGTGGAGAAAAAGGTACTCTCATACATTGTTGGTGGGACTGCAAAATGGTGCAGCCTCTATGTAAAATGGTATGGAGGTTCCTCAAACAATTGCAGATATATCTACCATATGACCCAGCTATCCCACTGCTGGGAATATATCCAAAGGAATGGAAATCATCAAGTCGAAGGTATACCTGTACCCCAATGTTCATTGCAGCACTCTTTACAATAGCCAAGAGTTGGAACCAGCCCAAATGTCCATCATTGGATGAGTAGATACGGAAAATGTGGTATACCTACACAATGGAATACTACTCAACGGAATACTACTCAGCTATAAAAACGAATGAAATACTGCCATTTGCAACAACATGAATGGACCTTGAGAGAATTATATTAAGTGAAATGAGTCAGGCAGAGAAAAAGAAATACCACATGTTCTCACTTATTGGTAGGAGATAAAAATAAATAAATAAATTCACTCACACACACAAAATAACTGGGGGGGGAGAGAAGATATAACAACTACAATCCTTTGAAGTTGTTACAACAAGCAAACGGAAAGGACACTGTTGGGTGGGAGGAGGGAGGGAGGTTTCGGTGATGGGCCATAATAATCAACCATATTGTATATCGACAAAATAAAAATTTAAAGGGAAAAAAAAAAAGACTGAGGATAACAAATGCTGGCAAGGAAGTGGAGAAAAAAGAACTCTTCTACACTGTTGGTGGAACTGTAAATTGGTACAGCCACTATGGAAAACAGTATGGAGGTTTCTCAAACAACTACAGATGGAACTATCATATACAGAACTATCAGCAATCCCACGTCTATGTATATTCCCAGAGGAATGGAAATCATGTTGAAGGGATACCTGCACTTCCATGTTCACTGCAGCTGCATTTACAATAGCCAAGATATGTAAACAACCTAAATGTTTATCAACAAATGACTGGATAAGGAAAATGTGGTACATATACACAATGGAATACTACTCAGGAATGAAAACGAACTAAATCCTGCCATTTGCAGCAACATGGATGAGACTGGAGAAAATTATGTGAAGTGATATAAGCAAGGCACGGAAAGAGAAATACCATATGCCCTCATTCATAAGTGGGGGGGGGGAGGGAGGGAGGAAGGAAGGAAGGAAAAATAAAGGCTACAATAAAACACTGAACTTTCAGAAGGAGAGAACAGACCTATATATTTACTAGAGGTGGGAGAGGGCAAGCGAAAGGGCAGGGAGGGTTTAAGGAGTAATTGGGTAAGGGACACAAAAGTAATCATGATTTGTAATGATGAACATGCTAATGATATTGACTTGATTTTCATGGTAAAACTTTAAAGAATGAGGAGTTGATTCATATGGATGAGTAAAGAAAAGAAAGTGGTTTCTTGAGATGGAATCTATTCCTGGTGAAGATCCCATGAACACTGTTGAAACAACAACAAAGGATTTAGAATATTACATAAACTTTGTTGACACAGCAGCAGCACAGTTTGAGAGGACTGATACCAATTTCGAAAGAAGTTCTCCTGTGGGTAAAATGCTGTCAAAGAGCATCACATGTTACAGAGAAAACTCTCATGAAAAAGATAATTGAGGTGGCAAACTTCATTGTTCTCTTATTTTAAGAAATTAACACAGCCATCAGCAACCACCACCCTGATTAGTCAGCAGCCATCATCAATATCAAAGCAGGACCCTCCACAGTAAAAAGATGACAACTTGCTGAAGGTTCAAAAGGTTGTTAGTAAATTTTTTTGCTTGTTTGCAATTGGCCAGTAAAGGGCCAAACCTTACATGAGCATTTTTTAGCAAT